ATTCTTTTTTTTAATCTTGTAGTGGAGAACGCTGGAAGACAACTGTGATTGTGAGGAATCATGCCATATGTCTGGACCTTCTTTGTATAGCCATTGAGCGAGCTTCTACTATTGAGTGCTATAAAAATGCAGTACATAAATAAACAGCCTATATAATGGTCAGAGAATCTTTCTAAGAGCAGAACCTTGATGCAGACCTAGCTGCAGAAGGATTTTTGTGTTGCCCATGAGCCTGTCCATCATCATTTCTCTGAGGGGTTCCCAAAAGCAGAAGAGATGAAGGGAATGTATAGATAGTTTCCTATAGTCTGCTAATAAAAATCCTTAACCATTACCCACAACTGTGGTTATTGTCTCTGGATCAAATAAATAAATAAATAAATAAATAAATAAATAAATAAAACCACCACTGCAATGGCAGAAATATCTATTTTAATATTGTTAGATGACTTAAGAACTATTTTTGGTGGATAGCTGGGATATGAATAGAATAAATATAATAAAACAAGAAAAGAGATGAAAGATGGAGAGCTTTCACTTCACTGTAGCTCTCTCTTCCACCTCTTCCCCCAGACAGACTGCATTACTCTAATTCAAACAGAATATAATTAACCTGGTGTCCTCCAGAGGTTGCTGGCCTGTGCTGATGGGAGTTGTAGTCCAATACTTCTGGAGGACACCTGGCCAGAGATGTCTGCTTTACAGGTACTTTGCCATTCTGAACATCTGCACAGCTTCCAAATCTATTTAAAAAGAACTGTTCTGATTGTGAATACCCTGGGAAACAAAGACCCATTACTGTACTTGACTATTTTTCCTAAGTTGCACACTGTCTGAAGATCCATCCATATACACCACTTATTCTTACAAACACGATGTAATAAACACACCATGTGCAGACGAAAGGGGATGGAAAGCCTTTGTGACCTCAGAGACTGGAGAGATACTACACAGAGAGAGATACAGAGAGGTATACATAGCCCACAACACTGCCAGGTTATGCATGGACTCAGCCAACTGCCCGGGAAAATCAAATTAGACTTATCTGAATAGATTTCTGGTAGAGAATGACATGAGTGAAGCAAAGGTAAGGTTGAAAATTCTGAACAAAGGTAGGTTTCCATGTGGCTGTTTATAGTTCTAAGACTCCAAGGGCACAGTCTACTGCAAGTTTAGACAGGAAAAAGAGCTATAACTCCCAGCATGTCCCAGCCAGAATACTGTATATCTTCTTTTTTCTGTTTAAACATACGATTGTGCCCTAAATTCTAAGGCTATAAACTGTGTTGTTGTAATACAATATGGAATCATAATAGATTATAAGCCAATAAGAACCTGCCACTGTTGTATAAGACTTTTTCATCTCAAAATAGTGGTATATTATACTTATTAAATATTATGTGCCATCCAGTCATCTCCAACTTATGGCAACCTTATGACCCTCCAAAATGTCATGTTCTTGACAGCCCTATTTGGCTCTTATAAACTTAAGGATGTGGCTTCCTAGATGGAATTGATCCATGTCATGGTTGGTCTTCCTCTTGTTCTGACTCCAATTTTTTCTAGCATGATGGTCTTCTCTGATGAGGCTTGCCTTCTCATGATGTGCTCAAAGTACAACAGCTTCAGTTTTATCATTTTTGCCTCCAGGGAAATTTATGACTTGAATTTATTTAAGACGTACTTTTTTTGTCTTTCTGCCAGTCCAGGATATTGATGAAGCTCTCCTCTGACACCATATTTTGAATGCATTGATTTTCTTCCTGTCAGCTTTCCTTACTGTTCAGTTTTCATGTCTGTACACAGTAATCAAGAATACAATAGTATGAATGTTCTTGGCCTTGGCTTCTGGATCATCCTTACTTTGATCATCTTTTTCTAGTTCCTTCATTGCTGCCCTTTCAAGTCTCAGTCTTCTTCCAATTTCGTGGCTGCAGTTTCCATCTGAATTTATGAACGCACCAAGGCATGCCCTACCTTTCACACTTAATAGTTCACGTCATGACCACAATCTCCTCCTGGTCTTCTCCTTTTCCAAATTCCAATTACAAAACCTATTTAATTTCCATATTGAACTTCTGAGGAAATCCACGTGTACAATCACCTGATCGCTTGCCTAACCTATGTATTTTCAGGAAACAGATTGTTGGCTCCGAATCATTCACCCACTTTGTTTCTGACCCTTACACCGATTCTCACACAACATTGCACTCTGTCTTGTTTCCTACTTTTGCATTCTAGTCACCCATGGGGATCAGTATGTCTTGTTTTTGTGTGTTATCAGCTTCCTTTTGGAAGCTTCCACAAAGCTTTCAATTACTATTTCAGCATCTATTGTTGAAGTGTAGACTTGAATTATGGTATGTTGTTTTCCAAGATTTCTGATTGATATGATTCAGTCAGACTTTGCACTATAGCCCCTTTCTGCCTGTGCTGCATCATGCCTTTGTATTAAAGCCACTTTGTTTCTTCTCAGTTTTTCATTTCCAGAGAAAAATACTTAGTATTTGTCTGATCAAATTGTTCCATTCCAGTCCACTTTAGTTCATTCATATCAGGCACTGTGATGTTTGACCATTCCATTTCTTGTTTTACAGTTTCCAGCTTGCCTTGATTCATACATCTCACATTTCACGTTCCAGTTGTATGCGTTGTGCAGCACTCGACTTTCCTTTCAGCTCTCTTCATATCAGCCAATAGACCTCCTTCCAGCTCTGATCTAGTTGCATCATTAGTAAAAGCACTATTTGTACTTGCCCTTTGCTCCTTCCCAGTAACTGGTTGAGTGCCCTCCAAATGGAAGACTCATTTTCTGGTAGCATTTCTGGTAGTATTGTTTCATTTTGGATTGTTTCAATAAAGGGTTTTCAAGGTAAGAAATATAAATAGGACATCTCCAGCTCTGGGCAGGAGAAGGTGCCTCTGCTTTATTCAATGGCAGAAAAAGCTATTAAATGCCCACAAAATCTTGTTGGTCTGGTAATAAGACATACATCCCCTTCATATAGTATATTGATGCCACAATAATGGTAATATAGTAACAGCCCTACTAGTTGCAGTGGGACTAGTAGATGCTGAGATTATGCTAAGAGCCACTTGACATATGTATTCTTCTAGACAGATAGATATATAAATAGGATAATTGACATGGAGGTAATAGGAAGTCAGGTGAATAATTGCATAATTATAAAGCTACAGAAGTATAAAACCAATCTTTTTGAAGTAAGCACCAGAATAGATTACATTATGTAAATTCAGTAGTCCATGCATCATTATGTTACTTTCAGATCCAAATATTTTTGCTGCTGTTTTGTCTGAAACAAAGCAAATGATTCGTATTATATTGTTGTTTTATCACCCAAAAGCAATTAAAAATAGAAATCAAGACTTGGTCAAAATTAATACCCCCCTTTTTTTAATAGGTAAGGGTCACTTAACACATTTGATTCAGCAAACACTTGGAACCAAGTGGGAAGCCCAAGGTGCAAATCTGCAGTGCAACCAAGTTCCTTACAAATGGGTTTTTAAAATACAAATCTTGCATTTGTGTGTGTACAATCTGGGAACCGTCCCTCCCACACCCACACCCACGTGTCATTTGCTTCCCCTCCTGTCTGCTTGAACCAATTTCAGGCTGGAAAAACTTTTTTGAGATCTTTCAGTACACAGTTTCAAAATGAAATGTGGCTTAGTGGATGAATGGTGCTTGGGTGTTTAATTTTTGGTAAGAAATCAAGCAAGATCAAATAAATCTTCAGTAAGAAATCAGGCAAAGAATCCAGGGTCAAAGAAGAGAAGATTAGATTCTGCCTGGAGAAAAGACTGTTGCTCATCAGTACCCACACAAACAAAGCCTATGGAACAAACTGTTGTACACACATGCCTGGGGAAGAAAAGTCTCTACTTTGAGGTCAGCTCCACTGTGCAGTTGACAACAGGCTAAACTCTCAGGATGGCCCATCACTGACACTGTAGACATCCCACAATACTTGCTACAGTTGCCCAAACTCCAACATTGAGCAAAGAACAACAACACCTTGTTATTATTGTTAATTCGTTTTATATTTTTAGTGTATTATATTTTAATCGATGTTTTGTGAGCCGCCCCGAGGCTTCGGCGAATGGGGCAGCATAGAAATTTTCTAAATAAATAAATAAACAAACACCTGGGGACTGTGATCTGAGCCTGCCATTTTAGCTCCCCAACTAAATTCCCACCTACTTTCACTGGCCATATTTGTTAGAATAGCACAGCAATGGAACCAGTGACCTAGGGAGGCTGTGAGCTCTCCTGCACTAGAGGCATTCAAGATGCAGCTGGACAGCCATCTGAGAGGAATGGCTTAATTTGGAGTCATTCACTGAGCAGCGGGTTGGACCTGATGGCTTCTTGGTCCCTTCCAACTCTACTGTTCTATGATTCTGTGAAAAGCAGAGATGGCTTGGGCAAATGTGATCCCTACCTATCCAGAAGTGAGAAGCACTAGCACAATACAAACCTCAGCAGTAAGTCAATTGCATTTCTTAGTAACTTCCTATACAACCCCTACTCCATTGCCCTGGCAGAAGAAAGCTCTTAGTTTAGATCAGCAGCTGATCAGAGAAAAGTGTTTTTTTCTCCCTTCTGGGCCCTGAGAATGGAGCCCTTTTTCATTGGAACAGAGTGCCTCCTATCAGATTTGGGTAGAGGCTCAGCAGTGTCCCTCTCTGGACAAAATATATTATCATTTGGGTGCCAGGTTAAGAACTTCCTCTTTTCTCAGGTATTTGGTACCATACAGTAAGGCCCTTAATCATATTTTTCTTGTAACTGATTGTTTCAAATTATGTAAATATATGCATGTCTGTCGGCATGCTGTCCAGAATTGCATTCAGATGTGTATGGTTTTTATATTATGTATAATGTATTAAATCATGTATAGTGTATTAACCTTTCTAAACCACCCATAGAACTTTGGCTGTTGGTTGATATAGAGATGTAATAGATGGACTGATTAAAAATGCTAAAAGACCCTTATTGCCGCCAGCAGATTTCCGAAGCCTGCGTAGCCGTCAGTACGGGAACCAAGAATGCCCGGTAAGTGTTCATAGGCTAGGATAACTGGAACTAGGATGGCAAGCTTGCAAGGGGAATAATAAGCATGTGTTGGAAGAGTGGGGGACCACGTAGAATCATCTCCCCACCACCCTCCAAATGGGGTACAAGCAGATAATGTTGCTTCCTCTCTCAATTTTTTTCTTTATTCATTTGCAACAATTGCATACTGCTCCATATCTAGACAGATTCCAGAGCAGTGAACAATAAATTGATGAGACTGATAAAAGAACAAGACAATGCATTAAAATGTTAAAACTGTTCCTGGTCATCAAGAAAGACTTCCCAAAACACAGATGCCTTTATCAGATGCCCCAAAACAGCACAGTATCAGAGCCTGCCTGACCTTCAGGGGGAGAGAGTGCCAGAGAAGTAGAGCTGCTAGACCAAAGGCTGTTCCCCTGGTGGACTGCAATCAGGGCAGAACCACGTGGACCACCAGGGGAACGCCCTCTGATGACCTCAGCGACCAGCCAGGTTGTTAAGGGAGAAGGCACAGTCTTTCTTGGGAATCTTGGTCACAAGTTTTTCGTGGCTTTGTACACTAGTACTTTTGAATAATAACAAATCATTGATGTTCGGGGTTTTTCAAAGGCTGAGCATTGTGTTTGTCATGTGCAGCCTTTTCCCTTAAGATATCCACCACACGTTTTCTTCCCAGATACCATGCCTGCAATAAATAACTCAGTTATGTTCTTTAAATCCCAACTAAGAGCCACCTGGATAGCAGCAAAGGGAGCCTCTATTTTCCAGTCCAAGCATATGAACATATGGCTGAGAGAGCAAGTTAACTGCCTCATTAATGAAGGCAACATCATCAAGGCAAACATTTGGGATTTACAAGCAAGTATGAAGAACATGAAAGCTGAGCTCAAAAGGTATGCATCAATAATCATGGTGTGGGGTGGATTTAGTCTTTCAGGGCACAATCCTGCACATAGAATTATAGAATCACAGAAAAGTAGCATTGGAAGGGGCCATGAAGGCCATTAGGTCCAACCCCCTGCTGTTGCAGGACTCCATGTTTAGATGAGGAAAATTTCTACAACTAACAGTATTCCCCAGCCAGCCATTCTGTGTAAATTTCTCTGTGTTTGTGCTGCTATTTTCTGTAGAGGAGAGAGGTGGAGTAGTAAGTAAATAAGGCTAGCATTGTTCATTGCAAACTTGAGGGGCACAAAGAATTTTGGATGCAAGCCTCATGCAGCTCACCCAACACAAGCTGCCTCTGAAAAGGGTTTGAAAATGTCAATGTGTACAAACTACAGCAGTTCAAACCTGGTTTAAAGACCATTGACACCTACCTCTATGCAGCTCACCTTTCCTTGGCCCCTGATTTGTTGGGCACACTTCAGAGTGCTGGTTTTAACCTTCAAAGCCCTAAATACAACCCCTAAATACCTGTCACATGGTAGGCATGCCATGAGCAGAGCCTGCTGCAGCCGGGGGTCAGACTAGATGGCCCAGGAGGACCCTTCTGACTCACTCTGTTTCTATGTTTCTATATCTTCTCCCATATGAGTGCTTGGATCATCAGGAGATGATTTCTCTGCCCTGCCTTGTGAAAGATGACCTGGTATAGGCAATTTTGTTCATGCCTCCCACCCCACTTTTGGCTTTTTAGGGACAAGCGAAGATGCTGTTGTTCAGCGGACAATTATCTTAGAGATTTCTCTGAAATAAATTTGACATTGGCATCCCTGCATTTCAGTTTTTTATCTGGTATGATTATATTGCTGTTTTGCATTCTGACTTTGCTTATCAGTTTTATTACTCAATATTGTTAGTTGTCCTGAGGGCACTATTTTTGGTCAGAAAAGTAGATAGATATATTTTCTTTAATAAACTCTTCCCGTCATCATCATCATCATCATCATCCATCATCATCATCGCAATCATCATCGCCATCATCTCCTGCACTATATATAGGATAAAGCAAGCTGAAGAGAAAATAACTTTCATAGAAAAACAGACGGAAGCAGTAAAGAAAAATCAGGAAGAGCAGAGTGTTGTGGCATCTGCAGAGGAACAGTATCTCAAAAAGCTGGTAGGCAATCCTGAAGGTAGATATTGCTGAGCTAAGGGAGGCTTTGCATGCCCCCCGCCATAAAAACAGCAGGCAGCACTAGCCAGGGATCATTTGTTTAGTCAGTCTTTCCCAGCCCGGTGCCCTCCAGGTGTGTTGAGCTCTAACTCCCATCATCCGCAGCTGGTAAGGTTTGTTGGCTGGAACGACCCTCCTGTGGAATCATCAGTCTCCAGCAATATTTGCGACAACCCAAAAACTTACTTTATTTCCATTGCATCAATACTGATAGGTGGTTGCGGCTCCTACCCTGCAGGATTTGACTCAGTATAAGTTCTGTCCTAAATCTGTTGTTGTTGTTGTTCAATCACAAAGTTGTGCCCCACTCCTTGTGACCCCATGGACAACATTCCTCCAGGTTATCCTGCCTCTACCATCCCCCAGAATACACCCAACCCCACACTCACCTCTTCAGTGACCCCATCCAGCCGCCTCAACCTCTGATGTCCCCTTCTCCTTTTGCCTCCAATCATTCCCAGCTTCAGGGTCTTTTCCAGTGAGTCCTTTCTTCTCATTAGGTGGCCAAAATATTTGAGCTTCACCTTCTAAAGAACAGTCAGGGTTGATTTCCTTTAGGACTGACTGATTTGATCTCCTTGCAGTCCGAGGGACTCTCAGGAGTCTTCTCCAACACCACAATTCAGAAGTGTCAATTCCTCGGCACTCAGCATTCCTTATGGTCCAACTCTCACAGCCATACATTGCAACTGGGAAAACCATAGCCTTGACTTTTGTATGCAGGGTGATGTCTCTGCTTTTTAGTATGCTGTCTAGATTTGCCATAGCTTTCCTCTCCAGGAGCAAGCGTCTTTTAATTTCTTTGCTACATAGTCCATGCCAAATATATCCAACCATTTGCAGCACATGCAACATACTTCATTTTTGTACAGAGAATAACTTGCACAAACTTGAAGGACAACCCTCTGAACATGCAGCTCTGTTCTTTCAAACAAGGAACTGCCCAGTGACCGATTTCAGAGCAATCATCTGAAAATGTAACCATATCATGATGCATTAACATACAGCTCTGTGCCAGGTGAAGTGTCTGATTTTCTGCACACCATCATGAAAAAGAGATTCTGTGTAGAAGGCACATTCTCACCTTATGGCATCTGCCTGCGTAAATGTTTAAGGCATGCTACTCATTTAATGAGAGTAACATTATGCAACCTGATATTGTGTAGCCATTTTGGACGACAGTTTCCATTCTAGAGAAGGTTGCACTAGAATAACTCTAACAAATGTAACATAAAATGCTGAAACATCCAGTTGAAGCAACAGCACAGGATGCTTCAGGACTTTGAATTCTGGAGGAATTTGGCAAGGGTTTTTAGTGAATTGCAGTTATCTTTTTTCCTCTTCAGGCAATCAACAGGCTAAATATATACCTCATTACATTTTATAGCGCCCGTAGCTGAAGCTCTCTGGGTGGTTCACAACATTTTAAGTTGCCCTTCCAGATTTCAACCAGGCTTGACCCTGGTTAGCTTCCAAGTTTGGGCAGGATCAAGCATTTCAGGCTATGCAGAAGCATCTCTTTCTATAGATATATAGAGAGAATGTGTATAGCTAACTGTGCTGTTCTTTTTTCCACCCACAGGAAAAGGACAATGAAAATTTGCATTTGAAAATCTTCATGCTTTCTGAGAAGGTATGTAATACAAGTTACTTGCATCTCCTGGGAGAATTTTCATTTCAGCATAGAACATGAAGCAAAAGACAGCAGGCATTTTTCAGATGGTATTACTATGATATAGTGATAATGTTCTAGAAGCCTTCTGTAAGAAGCATCTCTTACTTGGAAAGCTGCCACATGAGACAAGCTAGAGAGAACCCAGCCCAGTTACCTCTATTGATCACCATTCATTTAGAATAGGAAGGGAAAGAACAATAGAAGAGCTGTGTTGCATCAGACCAAAAGTCCATCTAGTCCAGCATTCTGTTCCCACGGTGACCTGCCACTTTCTAAGGGATCCTAAAGCATGATGTGAGTGCAGTGGCACCCCAGCCATTGATAGAAAGAGGTTTATTGCATGAGATATTGGAGGTATGATACATCACTTATGAACAATGGGCTCATAGCCTCATTGTCCATAAATTTGCCTAATGCCCTCTCAAAGCCACATACCTTAGTGGTCATCTCTACTTCTGGAATAGCAAGTTTCATTGTCTAAGTATGTGCTTTGTGAATAAGTAAGTACTTCCCTTTATCTGTCCTGAATCTCAGCTTTATTGGGTGACTCCGGGTTCTAGCCTTATGAGTACCAATTCAATTTCTCCACTCCATGCATAATGTTGTGTACGTATCATACCCTGCCTGCCTCTGAGCCCAGTGGCAGCATAGCCCTTCTTGCTACTCTCTAGCTATGCCTGTAAGTGTGGAGGGGAGCCCATGTGAGCAAGAACACCTTTGGTCCCATGAACTGTTCTGAATGTTCCTTAAGCCTAAGGTTGCCTGTTTCTGGCTTGCGTATCACTTCAGCTGTGCCTGATCTACTCATCCCATTTCCTCAACGTATGGTTTCAACAAGCCAGTTTGGTCACATGCACTAGTTGTTACACTGTGTTAGGCCAGAACAATTGCACTCAGTTTCCATTCTGAAGTAAAATGCAAATTCATAGTGGCTCATTAGTGTGTGTGTTTCCTCCTGTTGAGTGACAAAAAGCTTTTTGCAAAGCATGTACTGCAGTTGTTATTTCGCCAGTGCTTAGCTTGCTTTAGCATGAAAGTCTGTTCATGGGGCATCTGCCATTATCAAGCTGGCATGAAGCATGAATATCGCACTCATAGGCTCTCTCGTCACAGAAATCCTGGTTGCACTAGAAGCACCAAATTTTGAAAGACTGCAGCTCTTTTGCCCCAGCCTGTATTTTTTTCCAAATGCTCCCCCATGTCTACTGGAATGATTATTTGTGTCATTCAGTCCACACTTTCCCATTGACCCACTGGGAAATGGATACACATCTAAAGCTCAACAAAGCACGCCATGGCAGATCTGCAATTAAGCTCTCTGACTGTTTTTGTTTGACTAACAAACACCCCCACCATGACTTCTTCAAAAGTGAGGAATATGGTCTCTAGGAGAGGGCATTTAACCTATCTCTTCCCCGATCTTTCATCCCTGAACCACCACTCACGTTGAAGCAACGATTCATTTGCTCCATGGAGGGAAAAGACTGCTAATTGTTCAAACAAAGCAGCAGTGTACATCTATGATTGGAATCACCAGAGTTCCATTTGGCTTGGCTCCTGAAAACCATGGAAGTCACAGAATGGCGAAAGAGCCTTAGTGAGCTGACTAATGTATACTGGTGAGCTGAACGTGTGCTTTTGTGCCAAAAACTAGAGTTCAACTTTGACAACATCCAGGAAGATCAACCAGCAGAGTTACCTGCAGCTCTGCTGTCATGTCAATAAACTGAGGGTAAGTAAATCTAGAACCAGGATCAAATAAGACTTGAAATAGCATGAGGGACTTGTTCATGTGAAGAAATAATGCCTCGGAAAGTGTCCATTAAGCTTAATGTGAAATATAGTGAGAGATGGGGGGATACTCATTTAATTAGTACTTCCAAAACCAATATGTGAACTGAAAATAAGTTATCTTTCAAAATTCACATTTGCCCAAACTTAGTAATGGAGTTCTCCAGTCAAAAAATGAGTACAAAAATGTGTATACTGGGAGAAATGCACATGAAAGTCCTATATTGTTAAAGATAATATTAAGCATGCATTCTATTAGCAAAATTGCTTGTGAAATTGATAGTTATATAAGGAAAATCGCATATGAATGCACAACAAAATGCATATAATTAATACAAGCTTTTAAACAATTCTGAAAGTTCATGATGGACAGAATTTAAGACTGGAAAAACATCAAAGCTCAGGAGAAATTGAACTTAACTTTGGAAAATGGAGAAATGGGGGGAAACGGACATTGACAGATTTGTCCATATCTAAATAGAGCCTGTTTGTGATCTCAGTGGACTGAAATAGCCAGATGCAAATATTACACATCATGACCATTGACTTGAACATGTGATCTAATGTTTATGAGGAGGGACAATCCATGGGGAAATTGAAGTTTTATATATCCCTGCTTTGGTCACTTCACCTTTTCTGGTTACATGGAACTCCTTGCATAGTTCTTTGCTAAATTAGTTATTTTCTAACTTCTCTTGGACCTATTCATTAACACCTGCACTAGGTGTCAAGGTGCACTAGACTTCTCAGTTTGGTTGAATGAATTTTATTCATTTATTTACTAAAATCATTTCTATCCCATCGTTCAGGGGTAGGACTCAGGTCAGTGGTACAAGAACAAAGCACATCATCTACAACAATTTTGAATTTTAATTTTTAATTCATACTGCCAAAATACATTTTCATTTTGTATCACTGGAGAAGTGTATGTTTTACTTATGATGATAAGAATACATGAAGAGGCTTGCTGGATCAAACCAAGGATCTCTCTAGCTCAGCATTCTGTTCACATAGTGACCACTGAAGTTACTGCAAAAGATAGCTAGAGCTGGGGAAGGAATTTATGAATTTGCACTTACAAGGACGATGAGTGTGTGCATCGGTCTATATTTGGTCCATGCCCATTTTAAATGTACTCAATTTCATCATTACCATACAATTTAAAATTAAAATAAAAACCACATGAAAATCTATGCATTTTGTACATATCTTTCTGTAACAGGAGCCCAGGAGCCTGCTTGCAATCTCCTCCCAGATACCTGGGCGACTGGCAGTAGACTGACACACTGCTGCAAAAATCGGAAAGGTTCCTCTACGTTGAGTTGATGAACCAGAGAATGCTTAGAGGGAAATGCAGAGTGGATTTCTCTGTGAAGGGATGAGAAGCTCACTGCTGGTATTCCAGCGAGCTGCTGGAGTGAGCATGTGGTCAGAGACAATCCTGCTGCTTAATTCTAATTGCATGTGCTCTCCCTTCCCACAAAGGCACTGGTTTGCATGTGGTCAAGCCGACCTTCTGGTAAAAAGCCTGAGGTCTGCCTCTTCCTGCTTTAATATATGCATGTTTGCATATGATTCCTGAGCTGCAAATTACATTGCAAAATTTGGAGAAGTGTAGAATACAAATAGCTGTGTTCTGATAGGTGCATTAGTCCAGGAACTGCAAATTATATTAATGTTTCTTAAAATGCAGCCCAAACAAAATTATCCAGTGTTGTTGGTGCTGTTCCAAAATGCTCTGGGTAATTTTGTAAGGTTTTACATAAGGCTTTTAGGAATCTAACAGTTTTAAAGAAAAACTCTTTGCTATATTTTGCTGGCAGTCACACGGATTTAGGGAAACAGAGTGGATTTACTGGGAAAGAGTGCTCCATATATCCAGCTCCAAACACTATTCAGTGAAGCACATGGCATGTAATTCCAGCTTTCTTTCCAACAGAGATTTCATTTCCTTAGTAAGAAAAAGACAAGAAAAGTGGTGGGAAAACATGGAAAGGTAACAACTGGAAGAAATTATTTTCTGAATACTCTGCATCTCCCCTCAAATATTTTCTTAAATAAGCTAGGGTGGTTACACAACAAAATTCTTTTCTAAAAGTACCTGTGTCTCTAGCTAAGGCCTCACTCACATAAATAGAAGTGCAGAATTGTCCATTCCCCTTGCAAGACCACCATACCTCTTATTTTATTGAGGATTCTCCTAAAGTTGTTCTTAGTTCAATTGTCTCATGTAATGCATAGATCTATTTCTCTTGGCTATACTAGTAAGGACAAGTCTTAAATACATTTGCTTCCAAGATGCCCTAAATGATGAAATATTTTTGGTTGTTTTGCTTGCTTCTTAATTAGAGAGAGCTCCAGGAATCCAAACTTACCTGTGGGGAGGAAGATGAAGTTTTTATAAAGGTAAAAATAATTATCATAAGCATAGGACACAGTCCAGCCAGCCAACATGAAGCCAACAGGGGTCCTACTGATTTGCTCTAATTTTCCCATTGTGCTCAGCTAGGCTTAAGTCCCCTGATCCTGACTGATCTCACCAGTAGGAGAGAACATGGTGACTTGAGACAGACCCTAACCATGGCAGCACCCAACTGTGAAATCCCCACCCCACCCCCAGAGAAGTACAAGTGCCCCTCACATCACTAAGTTTTAGATGGCAATTAAAACATATCTGTTCACCTCATCTTTGGGAGTGTAATCTGGCCAGGGGCTTTTATTATTGGAGTCTGCAAATGTTGTATAATATTGCTTCTTTTAGATATATGTTTGAATGTAATTGTAAAGTTTCGTTTCATTTCTTTTCATTTTTGTGCACTGCTCTGGGCTCCCTTAGTAGGAATGGTGATGTAGAAGTGAAATGAATGAAAAATAAATCTCTATTGTAGCATCCCCTTTCTCCAAATATATTTTTTTCTTCCTTAGAGGAGGAGTAACAGAAGGTAAAGAACTATCATTGATGAAGTACTTTTTGAAGTACTCCACAAGGCTTTTCAAAGGTTCCAAAAATGCTCAGAGCACCTGATTGATTTGAGAGACAAGCACCAAGTGCTCAACCACCTTTAGTGGTTTTCATTTTGTCCACTAACATTGTCTCAGGTGGTGGACACTGAAATACGATTCTTGTCAGGGCACCTGGAATTCTTGTGACTCTACTAGCCAAGTATTGTAATTGTGCACAAGATAAATGGCACTAGATGCATGTGGCAAAATTGATCTCTATTTATTTTCCAGATGAAACACCAGATCCGGGAGCTAGAAGGCTATGTACAGGAATACCAAGTGAAAATACAGGTATCCATGTGAGAAAGCTGATCTTTAGACAGACTGAATATCAAGAGCTGCCAAATTTAGGCTGTAATTCTTAACACATTTAACACATTTGCTAGGGAATGAGTTCAGTTGAACACAGTGGGATGTATGCCTGAACAAACATACAAGGGATTCCACTGTTAAGCTGTGATGAGCCACAGTGGTGGTCCTGGATAGCTGAATTTGATACCCCCCTTTGGTACTGGTTCCCCCACTTAGGTAGTGGAAAAGGCGATTTCAAAGAAAGGGAGAGTGCCAGGCTGTGCAATGAGCATGCAAAAGACAAATCAAAATAATTCCAAATGTGAACAGTGCTTCCGCAGCTTGTATTGCCTCAGTCTAAAACTGCTTATCTTCCCTTCAGTGATATCATCACACAGCCAAATCTATTGCAGAGTCAAACCTGTCTTGCTGTAGAGCAGGATCCCTGTTAGTAGGAACCTGCCGTACTATAAAGAAAGCTCAACCCCGCCACCCACCCGCATGAGTTATGCTGCTGATTGGCACTGAGAAGAGGTATAGGAGGTGCAGGAGAATGGTTTACCTAAATGCGTGTCCAAGATAGCTATATTGCTATCTAGGCAGCTTCCATATACCGCCTGAAGTGACTGATCCTGCCTAATCTTGGAAGCTAAGCAGAGCTGGGGCTTGTTGAAGTCTGGATGGGTGACTTAATGTTGCTGACTGCCCAGAGAGCTTTGGCTTTGGGCAGTATAGAGATGATGATGATGATAATGATGAGACACACACATCATAAAAAGTCCTCCAAGGTGATCCCCTGGGCTTGGCTCCCCAGTCTCCGGTCTGCTTTGCATCTGCTAAGAATCTAATTCCCTAGTGAGCATGCCTATTGTTCACAGTGCACTCATCTAGCATCAAGCCTCGCACACTGGGCTAAAAGCACCCCCCTCACGCATCAAGTGCAGCCACTCTTTGAGCAGCCGCAACTGACTCTGAGCACTGGTTGTGGGGTCTTGCCAGGAAACCCGTTCCCTGCATCCACTGAGCAGTCAGTGTGTCTCTCTCGGGCTGCTGCACATGGTGTGGAAGAAGATTGCTAGTTGCAAAACCAGGGTCAATGAGCATTCATGGACTTCCTTTTGGTTTGAAGGCTGGACTGAACTCGAGCAAGCGTGCAAAACGTTGGAGGAGTACAAGCTGATATGGTTCATCCCAGCCTTACTCCAAAGGAACCCCATGGTTAGCTTTTTTCTTCATGGGTCCTCTGGAAAGAGTTCTGCAACATTTATTTATTTATTTAGAGTATTTGTATGCCATCCCATTGCATAGCCTCAGGACAGTTTACATAAAATAACATAAAACATAATACAAATAAAATCCAGATCCACCCTGGATTTGGAAAGGTCCATAAGCCATGAATTGCTTATTCAGTGATGAGCCTATTACTACTTCATTTTGAGCTATTCCCTTAGAACTCATGAACTTTCACATTTGCTCATGAGACATGCAAGCATGCCCATTTGAGGATTCCAAAATTTGATTTGTTCAGATTTCCTAAGCTGATTTCCTCCAAAAATCAACAGCAGCAACTTTGGTCTATGGAGGAAGCCTGCCTGGATTTGGGTGATCTGCATAAAAGCCCTGCTCCATTGCTGTTTAAGCTTTCCATTCACACACAGCAATCAGTAATCTCAAAGAAAAATTAGAATTGGGCACAAGATGAGCAACAAGCTGATATTCAGAGAATCCTGTTGCTATCAAGCATCATCCATTCACTTTCACTCTAAATCCTTATCATCACTTGCACCGACCCAAAAGCCCTTTGACTGGCACATGCTGCTCTGGACACTTCTGGCTATGATAGTGAGAAGCAGCTCACACATCCTTTCTGTAGCCAGCATGTGGTCAATATATTTAAAAAATTCCCCTAGGACTTGAGCTGTGTGAAGTAGAGACATTGCTGTGGAGCGGGAAGGAAAAATGCAGTAACTGAGGAGGGCATGCTGACTATTTTGCTTTTAGGTTCTTCAGGACAGAGAGAAAGCCCTGCAGGATGAGCTGTCAGCTGTTGCAAAAGACAAGGCTCAGTAAGACTCCTCTGTGATTCCATTTTTTCCCCCTGTAGCCAGGGTCTGGTCTTGAAGTATGTCAGATGAATTAAAGTCATGATTATTCTGCTGCTGGAGAATACTACAGAATACAGATGCTACCACAGGAAAGGGGACAGTTGAGTCAGTCCTTTATTTTATTCTGTAAGTAATCATGGAAATGGGCGATTTGTATCATTTCTTTACGCTGCATCTGAGGAGGCAGTGCCAGGGCTCGACTCAGAAGCGACCTTTATGGACCTTTACAAAATGCAAAGGCAGATTGCAGGCTGAAGGTCATCACACGCCTTGCCCAGCTTTGGACAGATGCCCTGTGCTCTGCGCCCAGGATTCATTCTTCCTCCTGAAATATATTTAAAAGGTCAAGGAAACCCGTCCTGTAGTATCTTTTATCTCTGCCACCTTATTAATCACTATAACTTCCATGAGAATATCTATAAAGTGATTTTCAATCATTCCTGGGCTTTGATCCATTATGGCAACCCTGGCTGTTAGGGATGTGTGTTCATTTAATCCACATTCAGGGATACACAATTCATAATAAATGAAATACAATAGGAAGTCTTGCCAAGAAAGAAATTGCAAAAGTGTTTTTATTTTTTTAAAAAAATCCAAAAAATATGGAAATAGGAACAAAACAGTTTCTAGTGCACATTTCTGTTAACTTTGTTGTGTATAATGTGATATATTTATTATTTTTTTATTAAAGCGTTTCTAACCTGCCCCCCACTTCTGTCTTGGGACAGCTTACAATGAAAAAACAAATAAGATAAAACAAAACAGCACAGCATCCAACGACTTAACTATATAACTTAACTTATATTTCTAGTATATTGGTATAACATCATCTCATATTGCGAAGTATGGCTCATTTTGCATACATTTGGCTGTTTTCAGCATCCAGAAACCAGAAGGACTTGTGCCTGGCCCTTGCTGGGTTTGGGAATGGGACATTCCCCTAGTACATGGAGATAAAACTAATGCAAAAAAGTAAATCTGTTAATCTGTCTGCCTGTTTGCCTTCCTTCCTTCCTTCCTTCCTTCCTTCCTTCCTTCCTTCCTTCCTTCAGATGTCAGATCAAGTTCCCAGGCAAGTTTTTGAATCTACACCCAAAGAGCTTGATGTATGAAATAGCCAGGGCTGAACTGGTCAGTAACCTTGTTTTACCCAATACAGAGAAAGCTATCTGGTCGTCCTTGTGAGCACAGATTTTTAGTTTGTGACAGAGAAGCTGATGTTGTGTTTTACATAAAATTAATGCAACTATTGTAACTGAGCCCAGCATCCCTGGACAACAGCATCTGCCCCTTGGCTACCTCTTATATTTGGATGTGAAGACAAATGGGGTTCAGTACAACAGCTTCTAGAAGAGAGAAGATTCAGTGCTTTTATAAGATGTGTGGCCAAGTGAAAGGGGCTGAAGAGCCATTGGCATCACAAACGCACCCCATTCACTAGTGGCAGTGAATTCTTTTCAATTCTAGGGACATTAGTATTCTACTATAATTCTAGTACTATTCTAGTATTAGTATTAGCAGATTGGGGGCATGCAATCCTAAATCAAGCTCTAGTTTACCAGTCTAGTGCTGTGGTCCACACTGCAGTGACTGCAGACCTCCAAATCTGGTCCATGGGTTGACTGCCTTTTCTTTCCTAGTGAAAAGGAGGATTGAAACCAGATAATATATTTGTACCTTTGGTATTTATGGAGATGTATGATGCTGGAAAACTCATTCATTTGAACACAATGCACATTTCTGACCTGACGCTCAAAGCAGGCTACTACAGGAATGCGGGTCTTCTGCTTCCACAAAACTGTTTGAAATAATTGTACAAATCGGGATGAGAATTGTGTGTCCCTAGTGCAAACTGGGGCTGTCTCATTCAATCTGAACTGTTCTTTTTGTTCTGCTTGTAGCATTTAGCATGAGAGCATCCTCCTCTCACCCCATATGCACACATTCCACCTTGAATTTTCTGACCATTAATTTCAGATTTGTGTAAAGTTCAGTCCATAAGACTGAGATGATAAAATCCATAGAATGTTCACCTATTTATCAGATTCCTCTTGCATCCCTACAATTAAAGTCGTTGAGCTTGTGCCAGTGTTCAGGAAATCCCTCCATAGCATAGATATGCAACATAAGAGATACTTAAAGTCACCAGAGACTTCAAGTCATGGCAGATGGATGCTTTCTACAGGATCAGAGAGTGTATACCTCTGAATTCCAGTTGCTGGGAAGCAAGAGCAGAGCAGGGGCAGTGAGTTCATGTTCTTTTTGGACCATGTGGGAATCCAGTGCTGAACTACACTGGCCTTTGGTTTGGTCCAGCAGGAATATTTTGTGATCTGATGATGCACTTCTTTAAAAAATGATGAATGGTCCTTGCTGCTTCCTTACCTGTTATGGTACAAATGTATGCCTGCACCACAGGAGCTAAAGCAATGGTGCAAGTTCATGCTGTGTTTGGATGGATGCCCATTTTGGTCAAAGATAAATTGCATCGTGGGTGATACTTTTCCCACCTCACTCTGGAAGTTCATGCAGAAAAGAACTTTCAACACCTCAGTAATAAAATATCTGACTTCTGTTTGTATATGCAATTATAAGTGCCAACAGCAACTATCAAATTTAATTTTACCTACAGGAAGAAAAAATGCAAAGTGGAGAAAAACCAGTGACGAAGCAGCTTTGTGGTGGTAGGTTAGTGAAGAATATTTGCTACTGATTTTCCATTGAAAAACAAACAGACCCATATACTTGGAACAGTGTAGATATTTGCAGAAATAATAACTTGCCTTGATACGCAATGACTTTTCTTTCACATGGTCTAATTATGATCTGCAGAAACTAGTTAAGTGATTTTTCCTTGGATTTTCAAAATGTTATACCAATGTTTAACTAGATATG